CACCCTGAAGTAGTCTCGTTTTCACGCCGGGACCTTGTTGGGAAGTTCGTGTAGAAGCTTAAAACCCAGGCAAGGAGACAAGTAATACGCCTGCCTATGCCCGGGAAGGGGACCCGCTTGCTTCTTAAGCATTAAAATGGAGGAGAAGATCTCCAAGTCTAAAGGCAAGACCTGTTCGCAAAATAGGGAGATTGTCCCCACCAAGTTACGAATAGAGTTCGGGTGAAGCTGGCCGACTATAACACCGAAGTGGTTCATTACCTCGACAATGTGGGGATGAAAAGGAAGGCGCAACCCAACAGCGATCTGCTCCCAGAATATCACGATCTCATCAGGACCGTGTTCCCAAGGGAAACTGCCCGAAGGTATGAAGTAGGTGTATTCCCTAGGCAAGTTGAATTGTGTGATAAGGGAATGAAGCCCCTCGAGCGTCATGGTCGAAGGCCCAAACTTGTTCAACATCCGACCTTGACGAGAGGAGGACGCCAAACTACCCGAAGCTACTCGGCCTACGGGTTCAAACTCTCCCTCGAGTTCTACCTCAGGTTCATTAGGACTGTTGAGGGGTGCAGCTCGGTTCGTAGAACCTGCATTCGACCCCCTTGAAGAACTGTCTGAGCAATCCGAGCTAGACATTGAAAGGAGAATTAAGGATTACAGGAAAGTACTCACCCGGAAAAAAGCAAACGGACTACGGGAACGTGAACGCGAGCTAGAAGCTGGGACGCGAACTGAAACTGAGATGCGAGCTCAAGAAGCAAAACGCAGGATAGCGACAGCGACTAGGGTCCCCCACTATTTATGCCCACAGTAACCGAGAATCAACGGCTTAGATCAAAGATAATCTGACGGCCCGCAGTCGTGACTGACCGCACGTCTCAAAGGCCGAGACGTGACTGGCCGCACGTCTCCTGAGACCAAGACGTGATTGGCTGCACGTCTTTCTGAAACTAAAAAAGGCACCAGCACACATCTCCTCACATTAAAGGCGGCAGTGATGCGCTTTTTCAAATTTGAAAAGACGCCCGCTGTCACGTCTCCCAACGGTGCACTTTTTGAATTTTGTAATAGGCACGCGCCATCACGTGTATCAGCATTTATAGACAGATTGGCGCGTTTCCCATCTTTTTGGCGCTCAAGGAAACTCGGAAAAATCCTAACAAGCGTGCACTTCGCGCTATCAGTCAAAACCAGTTCGAAGTACGGGACAAATCCACCTGCCACCTCGCAAACTCCCCGCACCAGGGCAAGTCCCTTAGCGCGAGGAGTGGGGGGCAATTGATGAAGGAAGATTTTCACTCAACACGTGGCAAAGACAACAGCTCGGCACAACAGCACGCCCAAGGTGCGAGCTCCGAAAGGAGGAACCAGCGGTCCGAACTCCCTACAAGGAGCCCGAACTCCCTGCAAGGAGCCCGAGCTCTCCCTTAGGCCCCGAGCCTTACAAACACAAAGGGCAGCAACCCGAACTGACCTGCCCCATGGCAGTTCGGGACACACCTCTATCCGAACTCAAGACTTCACCTCGCTCACCACTCCAGCACTTCGCCTCTAGGACGCCAAACTGAACAACCGTACCACGCCTGACACCGAGGAAGTACGTACCCAGGGGTGGCGCACCTGACTGACTTGGGATCTGACGCTTGACAGCCGCACTTCAACAGCCACCTGCCGCCGCCACCTGCCACTGCCATCTCCAGTTGCAGAGACGGCTCCGACAAAGAGAGTAGTGGCGATTCTGTCCCAGCAGAGGTGATGACACCCGAATTGGCAGGAGCACAGAGATAATCATACCCGGCCTGACAGAAGCTTATGAGTGAGTGCGCGAGGTGGTTATAAAAGGCTCCCTACCCCCCAAGAACAAGGTATGTGAACTTTGCGCCATCTGGTTTTATCTTGCCTTTTAGAGAATAATAATTTGAGCTTCGGAGCAATCTCACCGGGTTCCTCCCTGGAGATTCCCCACTTTCTTCTCCGTTTCAGGCCCCCCGTTGTTGCAGTCAGAGGCAAGGTCGTTGATAGCTAAGACCGACCGAATTGCGCACCATCAATTTCCAAGGCCATAAAGCCAAATCAAGACTTCTGGCACCCTTTTGGAATTAACATTTCTTGCACCCGAATTTTGTTTTTTCTCTAGATTCGTATTTAAACTTTAAATAGACTCCTGACCAAATTATTGCTCCGCTTTTACCCTATTTCCCTACTTTATTAAAATGAGATTGATGAGACTGAGAGCTTGGCCTAAAAATTCAAAGGGAGAAGTACAGATAGACCCGTTGTATATTTTTGAATCCCACTGTGAATCTATAAATATTCAAAATGTCAAATACCCCTATTTTATGCATCATTGACCGCCCGTGAATTAGCATCAATTCCGAATTGGCACCTACCCCAACTGTACTTTGAGCTTAAAAATTCGGACCCTGGGCTCAAGCATCATTCTCCCAAATTCAAAACCTGATCGGAAATTTATGGATTTGATTGATAGTTAAAATCATTTCGATATAAGTTATTGTGTAGAGCAGTCTCTTTCCAACATACATATATGATTAATGTCACATGATTGATTCATCCCTTTTCTCATTCCTCCTGAAATCTAGTAGTTATGTAAAATCGGAATTTTAACAATTATTTTTCATACCTGTTATTGGGATTTTCATGGTTACCAAGTACCAACTTCATTGATGAAAAATTTAAAAACAAAAAGGAAAAACTTTCAACGATATTAATTGTTGACTATATGAACTATAAATAACAATAAGATCATTGATCAATTAGGCCGGGGTCACATCTCTAGGCTTTTTAGGTTTAGTTTATGGTTTTACGTTAGTTTTGTTTGATAGGAAACTAGTGTAAGAGCATGTGTGCAGGGGTAAAATATTAGGACAGTTGCACTTTGTAAATATTGATAGGTGAGTCCAGATCACCTGCCAATAAAACATATTCCAATCCTTTATTGACATGATCTTGCACCACACATCTCATAAATGGCAAAGTCTCAGTTTCATGGTGAGATATGCGATGTTAGATGAAATTGGTAGAGGGTTAGAACGTGTTTTGTTAGTAGAATATCTCGACTCTTGATAGGTTTAGATGTTTAAGTAGAGACCTTTAAATTCCAATTGCATCCTTGTGCGTGATAACATTGTTCATTTCATATGATGTTATATCGAGTCTGGGATTTTGGACCAGGCCCATTAAAAAATTAACAACTTTGCAACTCAAGCCCACCCAAGTTGCAACCCTTTATTGACATGCATCCCATTTTCTCCCTTGTCATATGAAACAAGAAACACTTTTCATGTTACATGCTAGTATGACTCACTAATATTATATGAAGGAATTAGAAAGTTGAAGAAACATTGTTAACAAATTTTGCGAAATTTTCTAAGAAATTTTTACAAGATATTATTATATAAATATGATATATATTTTATACATATATTAAACACAAGATATTGTATGTATCTAATATAAATGTATTTAAAATTAGAGGCTCGTAAGCCCAAGCGGCCAAGCTGACCGCCTAGAGCCCTGGGCTTTGACCCGATCTAGAGCACTTACTAAATCCAGTTTGGCCCAACAAACGGTCATCCCTACACATATTGAATTTATTAATAATCTATACCAACTTTGATCATGAACTAGAAGGAAGGGGCTTTGTTAATGTATATTCTAAACAATAAAAAATAGGTATTTTTGTTGTTCAGTCCACCCCAACAAATCTTAGTTCCACTGTACAATTGGGGTAGGTGCCAACTCGGAATTGATGCCAATACACAGGCAAGTATTGGTGTTATAAGTGGAGGTATTTGAAAATTTGAATTATTGTAGGTCTGCAATAGAATTTAGAATTATGAGATGGAGTGAAATATAGTTTTTACTAAAAAATATTGGTTTTTGCTTTCAAAATATATATTGTAAAATTGAAAAATATATTTTCTATAAATGGGTAAATGATTTACTATCCTCAGAATTTACTTTATTTTATTTTTACAATCTATTTCAATTTTTCATTAATAGACTTTCAAAAAATATCTTATATTAGCAATTAAAATAATCTTATATTTTTTAAATCTATTTATATTTTTATTCTTCATTGAGTTTCCTTCAAATACTCAAACCACTCATTGTGTTTATCTATTAATTAAAAAATTAATTGTTTCACTCCTCACACAACTCTAAATCTTATACCCACAAAAACTCTACCCACATTTACCCATATAATATCGCAACTACACATGAAGAATATCTCTTCCTCTAACATAATAGTATGCACTAAGAAAAATTCCCAATGCACAAGGATAGTGTATTGAAAATCCGCTTCAATCAATACAAAGCCTATTCCGGCACGCTTTAGAGCCTTGCATCAGAAACATTTTCATACTCGTGTACTTTCATGGAGAGATATGCCTAATATGCAAGCTATAATGGCTGTTGGAAGGGGCTCGTGCCTAATCGTTTCAGATAGAATTTTTGTGGACAGAAAATCCGGAGTAGTCAGTGGTGTCAGAAATGGAATAAATAATATTTTAATTAACATAAGAACACAAGGAGTGGTCTGAGTATTTGAAGGAAACCCAACGAGGAATAGAAATAGAAATAATTTATTCTTTCTTTTACTTGCACAAGGTGCATAGAAAGGTGCGCAATAAACGCATTGCGTATATTAAAGAAATCATTTAAAAATAATAGAATTATATATAAAACGTGTGTGAGATAGTTTGACAGTGGGGATGAGAGATTGAGAGGAGACGGGATGGGCTCCCGGCTCCCCACTGAGGAGATGGGATTCAGTCACTGCAAGGCCCATTCAAGCAAACACCCGACAACCCATCTCCTCCGTTCATTGGGATCATCTCCTGTGTGGGGCGCCTGTGAGCCGTGAGATGAGAAATGCTAGACTGTTGCTCGTTATTCTGAAGCTACACGTCTTTTATTATCAAGGTTAAAAGCCTTGAAGCTCGAAGGCAGTAACCAGTAAGGCAGGCGGGCAATCAAATCAAACTATCGTTAACTCTTATCTTCTTCCTTAATTTTAAATTAACTAAACACATACATCTGTTTACTTCGCTGTAAATAAGAGTTTCGTACTTCAACCCATTATCTCCTCCTTACCAGAAAAAAAAAAAAAAAGAAACAGGGAAGGCATTTTCTGTCTGTTGAACGATTCAATTAGACCATCTCGGAGCTCGAATTGGGGTTTTGAGCTAGTTTCAGAGAGGATTTCTAGGTTTTTCTGGGTTGCGTTATTGTTCTTAGGGTTTCTGCTTTCTGAGGATGGCCCAACCCACTACGAGCAGAGCTAGGGTTGTTGGAGATTATATCGTTGGTCGACAGATCGGGTCGGGATCATTCTCTGTTGTCTGGCACGCAAGACATCGTGTTCATGGCACGGAGGTCGCAATTAAAGAGATCGTCATGGATCGTCTTAGCAAGAAATTGCAGGAGAGTCTCATGTCTGAGATTTTTATTCTGAAAAGGATCAATCACCCTAACATCATTCGCTTGCACGATATTATAGAGGTCAGTGAATGTTCTTGCTTTATTAAATTTTGGTGTTAGTCGGTTCTTAGCTGAATCGATTGTTTTGAGCTGGAAAAAAGTAAAGTTGAAAGAGAACACGCTGTTTAGAAACTAGAAATAACGAAGTCGGATTACCTTTATGATTTTTAGGCTCTAACTTTAACTACTTAACCGGGTAGGAGAGTTGCCCAAATTTGGGAGGTGTCTAAGACAAGGACCATGTGAAAGTGTTGCTTGCTTTTTACTGTGTTTTCCATGATGAATGGATAGTGCATTTCATAAAGTCGTGTTAGAATTCTAGTAGCACGTTTATTCAGATTCCAATGACCTCATGTTGATTGATTAGTCAATCAAGGATTTACTTTCTGCATTGTTTATGAATTACTCTGTTTATTGGCGCACTCAATTATATAGTCTGGGCTAAATGCCGGATACCTCATTTATTTTATTTGGGTGAGATTTCAGTTTTATATCGTATATAGCATTTCCTCCAGTAAGTATCAAGTTCAAAATTTCAATTGTGAAAAACATGGACATAGTAAGTGAACTTTCACGCATGTAATAATCGGAAATCTAGGCTCCTCTTGTACCTTCAATGGGGCACTGGAACTGTTCGAATGCAATTTTTTTAGGCATTATTTAAATGCAATCTGAGTTTGAAGAGAGTGAGAGAGCTGGTTATTTTTCATTTTTTCTATGGTCAATGTGGCTGGGTGTCACTTATTTTATTTTTTGCTTCCCTAGGACAAATATCTTTTGCTAATCATCATTCAACACTGAAATTGAGGCTCTCAAAGTCCTGTTTCCTTTTTGCTCTATCCTTATATTATCTCCATTCTCCACCTATCTGGCATACTTTCTATAAAGGTTCTGAAAGTCCCTTACAAAAGAAGTTAGAGAAAATGAGAAGAAGGAAAGGGAGTGGCTTGTAAATTGGCTGATCCGGAAAAGCCTTTGACAATATTGGTTGAAGTTCCTTGATTTCACTTTAGACAGGTTAGTTATTGCTTGTAGATAGAGAAGGCGGATATCTATTATCTGCCTGTATTTCATAAAGTTTCTACTAAGCTCAGAAGGCATCAGGCATGGAAGCCTTTTATTCTTTCCATCTTTCTATGAATTTATGATGTTCTGAGGAGGCTTATGTTGCAAAGTAGAGAATCTTGGTTTAGTTAAGAGGCTTTATAGTGGGTGGAGGCATCTCTTTTGTGTTATGCTGACTGTAACTTCATCTTCTTTTGTCAGGGATATTGGGAATTTATTGAAAATTGTATAAGTATAATTAGATGCTTTGAATGATCATTTGTAATGCCATTCTAAATTCCAAGTTTCTAATCACTATTTTTTTTTTTTGGAAAAGGTAAAGTAATATTTATTAAGAAAAAGATACACACAGGAGGCTGAGATCAGTCCCAGAAATGGCTGACTGATCTAAAACAGCAATTACATGAGCCATCAAGAAACAGAAAATAACACATCTGATACATTACAATTTCTAAATTCAGCAGTCACAGACAGCCAAGAAACCAACTTGCCCAACAACTTCTGAGATAGATCCTCCGGACTAAGAGACTTGTCATTAAATACCCTTCTATTCCTCTCAGTCCAGATGCACCAGATAATCACAAAAAGAATCAGCTTCCAGAGAACCTTCCTTTTCTTGCTCAAACCCTTAATCTGCCAACAGTTTAACAACTCTTTAACCAACCTCGGCATCACCCAGCTAATCTTCACAATGTTGAAGAGATGATTCCATAAATGAGCAGAAAACGGACAGTGGATACACAAATGATCAATGGATTCAATATTACAACCACATAAACTACAAGACAAGTCTGGGATCTGAATGCTTCTTCTCACCAGGTTTTCCTTGGAAAGACACTTATTTAGAGCCATGGTCCAAACAAGGAAGCATGTTTTGTCGGACTGTTTGGATTCCATATTTGTCGAGCTGGGAAATCAGACCCACCCCTCCTTCCAATCAAAGCAGCCAGGGATTTAACAGAAAACAGACCATCTGAATTCCACCTCCAAAACCACTTGTCCTCCAAATTATAATCCAGTGTGATTTTGGAGACATGACAGGAGATTGACTGCCTCTTCCACCTCCCAATCAAAAAGATTTCTGTGGAAAGAGGGAATCCAAAGAACTGAACCACTCGAAATGCTATAACACTCGGCAACTGAGGCCTCTTGATCTGATGCACACTGAAATAAGAGCGGGAAGGACTCAGCAAGAGGAACATCTGAGCACCAAGGGTCCTTCCAGAATTTGGTCCTATTACCATTCCCCACCCTTATTGAGACTCCCCTTACCAAATCTGAACAGGTCTACATAATCCCTTTCCAAAGGGAACTACCCCAGTTATGAGGAGGATCCCTAGTTCTCTGGTTTCCCCAACTCACACCATACTTACTAGCAATGAGAGATCTCCACCAAGCATCAGGCTCTACAGCAAATCTCCATATCCATTTACCGAGTAGAGCAGAGTTAAAATTTTTCAGCTTCCTTATGCCTAGCCCCCCCTTAGATTTGGGGAGGCAAACTTGCTCCCAACTCACCAAATGCACTTTTTTTTCCTCCTCCCAGCCTCTCCAAAGGAAGTCCCTTTGAAGTTTTTCAATCTGATTTGCAACCTTCTTAGGAATATAGAATAGAGACAAGAGATAGGTAGGCAAATTGGAGAGAGTGCTCTTAATCAGAGTCAACCTCCCCCAAAAGAAAGATATTTTGCCTTCCAAGAAGCCAACTTCCTTTCCAATCTCTCAATAACTGGGTCCCTAATTGCAGAGGAACCACCACTAACCCCTAACGGGAGCCCCAAATATTTAATTGGGAGGGAACCAATCTGACAGGCCAAAATATCTGAACATTCAGCTAGGTTAGAGACTTGGCCAACTGGGATGATTTGGCTCTTATTCCAGTTTACTTTTAGCCCTGTAATCACTTCAAAACAAGATAGGGTTCCAAGGACAAGTTCCACCTGAGAGGGAGAGGCATCCACAAAACATAGAGTATCATATGCAAATTGAAGAATGGTCACCTTCTCTCCCCCCGACACCATAGCAAAATCAGCCCACTCTCTTGAGCTTGCAACCTTCTTGACAGGGGGTCTCCCTACACAGATAAAGTCAGAATCTCCCCCCGACACCATAAAGTCAGAATCTCCATTACACAGATAAACAGAAGAGGAGACAGGGGGTCTCCCTACCTGAGGCCCCTGGAACTGTCAAAGAAACCTGTAGTCTGCCCATTTACCAGGACTGAGAACTTTGGATAAGTGATACAAACTTTAATCCAATTTCTCCATTTCTGCCCAAAATTCATCTGATGCAACACAAGGTCTACACATCTCCAGTTAACATGATCATAGGCCTTCTCAATGTCAAGTTTACAAATCAAACCTGGGGAACCTTCTTTTTTCCTTGAGTGAATGAGCTCATTGGCAATAAGCACCGAATCCAACATCTACCTACCCGGAATGAAAGCACTTTGGTTGTTTGAGATGACACTATCGAGTACTCCTTTTAATCTTTTAGCAAGCACTTTTGCTAGGATTTTATAAAAACTATGCAGAAGGCTAATTGGCCTGAAATCCCTTATGTTGACTGCACCTTCAATCTTTGGAATAAGGGTGATGAAAGTAGAGTTCAGACTTCTCTGCAAGGAACCCCTCTCAAAAAAATCCTTGAAAACATTCATAATGTCCTATCTCACAGCATCCCAGCATTTAATGTAAAAGAGATTAGTAAGACCATTCGGGCCAGGAGACTTCTCATCTGCCAACAATTTGATTGCCCCTTTGCTTTCCTCCTCAGAGAAAGGACCCTCAATAAGGGAAGATTGCTCCTCACTCAACTGATTAAAAGGAAGGGATCTAGGAAAAGATCTGAAAGGCCAAGGCTCCTTATACAGCTTCTTATAAAAATTTGATGCCACAACCTTCATATCAGACTCAGAGGTACCTACCCTGCCCTCCCCCTCCAATCTGGTAATTACAGAAGCTCTAGCTCTAACATTTGCCATTTTGTGAAAAAAAATGGGTATTCCTATCCCCCTCTTTCAGCAACATAACTTTTGCTCTTTGCTCCATTTAATTTCTTCCACCACTGCCAATTTATCAAACTTCAGTTTAGCCTCCCGTCTTTTTAATCTGAGCTCCTCAGAATAGGACCTAGCTCTTCAGCAATAGGACCAAGCTCTTCAGCTGTATCTATCTCCTTTATGAGACTTAGAAGAGTCTTCTTCTCTGTATCTGAATTCAAGTTCTTTTCCAACTTCCAAATCTTTAATCTTGCCTTGATGGCCCCCAGTTTCTTTGCCAATATGAAAGAACTAGTACCCTCCACCTGCTGCTTCTCTAGTTCAAAAGGAACTTTGGCTCTAATCACTATCAAATGTGGCTTTGAAAAAGAAAGACTGAAAAGTTAGATAACTTTGATAAGAACAGGTTAGATCAAATATTTAATTCTAACTTTTTTAAATAAACATGCAAACTAGTTCTCATTTAGGTAATTGTCATTTTGGGCCTAGAGAAGACATGATTTTTGATATTGGCATTCACATCAGCTGCTACCAGGATATACTTTTCTGTATGGTCTCATCTAATAAATACATAAGGTACATTTTGACAAATTATGTTGTGAAACTTTGTAGAAAGTAGAAGTTTCATTAAACATGGAAGATTTTTTTTTTTTTGATCAATAACATGGAAGATATTCAACTATTAAAAAGATACTTAGATTTAAAAATGTAAAAGCAGTATCAATATTTTGGATGAGATACTCATACATTTTTCTGTATTCCATAGCATGGATTTCAAGGGATGAAAAAGTCCTATTTCCATCTTCCATATTTGTGTATATCTAATTATCTGCATACTAGCTTTTAAGTCATGCTTGAGCGATGACTACTCAGTTCAGTTGTTGGGACTTGGTAGTCTGAAATTGTCTAGTCAATCATGTAAGTTATAACTGGACAATATTTCAACTATAACCAA